ATGCCGTGCTGGCATTTCAGAGCTTCACGGGCGTCGTCTCATTTCCGACCTTTTTGATACTTTTGAAGAACGCCACGCCGTCGCCGCTGGTGCTGGGCAAAGTGAATGGGCTGGCCATGTCAGCTTGCTCCGCCGCGAGAACGGTGGGACCACCGCTTGTCGGGATTTTCTACAGCAGCCTTGGTTCAGCAGGGGCATGGTGGAGCTGTGCCATTGTGGCCATAATTGGGGTCATCCAGTTCTACTTCTCACCTAGGCCACGGGACGACGACGAGACGATATTGCGGAGAGCCTCTACGGCTGCCGTCGATGCTCCACCCATGGCTGATCTGGTGCGGAGTCGGGAAGAGTAGTTTTTGTATTTGATGGGGATTTTGTTCAGTGCACCTTGTGTGAAAATCTGTGGACTTTGGAGCCAAAAAATGGTAAATAGATTGCTGCGTGTGTGTTATGGTGCTCTGGCTGGTCAACGAACAAGGCTGGCGCTAAATGAGGCTTTACATATCATAATCAAAAGCTCCGCCGTATCATTACGGCAGATTACTCCAGCCTCAAGCGCAGTCTCGGCTTAACGACGCAAAGCACATTTCTCCGACCATCGGCTTCGGTGATTGCGTCTTTACCTCGACAATCATGTCATTGTCCTCGATTTTTCAGCCCATTTATGATTCTTGACTCTTTTTTTGGATAATTCGAAAAGGTACTAGCGACCATTTCGACTAGGGGAGGAGGGAGAGTGGTGTTGACATCTCGATACCTGCTGTGAGGGACACCGACCCGACCCCGGATCCCATCATGCTATCACGTCCACTCCTCCCCTGTGGGAAGCGCAAGCTCTACAGTGCTCTTGGGCCCTTCGCAGTCAAACAATCACCCAGGAGCCGGAGTTATGCGCCGTCTTGTGTGTGTGCATTCTCACAGTCGGCGTTCATACGGCGACAAGATGACTCGAAGAAAGCTGTACACACCACCAAGTTTGCGGAAGCACCACCCAGCAGAGCCGACAGCACCGAGGTCACCAAACCAGAGTCTATACAAAAGAATGAAACCCTCAAAGCCGAACCAGAGCCCCCCAAGAAAGGAGCTCTCCTTTCGGAAAAGGTCGTCTCGAACAAAGAGCAACGAAAAGTTGACCTGGCCATCATGAGGGAAATGGTCCAGTATCTGTGGCCCAAGGGTGACTGGCCGACCAAGCTGCGGGTTGGGACGGCATTAGGCCTCTTGGTTGGGGCCAAGATCCTCAACGTCAATGTGCCCTTTTACTTCAAAAACATTGTGGATTCTATGAACATTGATTTCCTGGCTGTTGGAGGCACTGCCTGGACGGTGGCAGGATCAATGATAGTGGCATATGGCGCGACTCGTATAGGCGCGACGTTGTTTCAGGAGGTGCGGAATGCTGTCTTTGCGAGCGTTGCACAGAAGGCCATCCGCAATGTGGCGCGCAACGTCTTCCAGCATCTATTACGGCTGGACCTGAATTTTCATCTATCAAGACAGACCGGTGGACTAACCAGGGCGTTGGATCGTGGTACCAAAGGAATCAGCTTTTTGCTGACGTCCATGTTATTCCATATTTTCCCAACGGTGCTGGAGATTTCCTTGGTCTGTGGCATCTTGACATATCAGTATGGGGCGCAGTTCGCTGCGATCACGGCAGCTACAATGGTCGCATATTCGGCCTTTACTATTACTACGACGTCGTGGAGAACCAAATTCCGCAAGCAGGCCAACGCAGCTGACAATCAGGGTGCTACGGTGGCCGTCGACACGCTGATCAACTATGAGGCGGTCAAATACTTCAACAATGAGAAGTTCGAGGTCAACAGATATGACGCCGCCTTGAAAAAGTACGAGGACGCGTCAATCAAGGTCACCACATCTTTGGCATTCTTGAACACTGGGCAGAATATGATCTTCTCCAGCGCCCTTGCAGCCATGATGTATATGGCGGCGAACGGGGTGGCGAGTGGTTCATTGACGGTCGGAGACTTGGTCATGGTCAACCAACTCGTTTTCCAATTGTCAGTCCCGCTCAACTTCTTGGGTTCGGTCTATCGAGAACTTCGACAATCTCTCCTCGATATGGAAACTCTGTTCAACTTACAAAAAGTGAATGTGACCGTCAAGGAGGTTGCGAATCCGAGACCGTTGGCATTGACGAAAGGCGGCGAGATCAAGTTTGAAAACGTTACCTTTGGCTACCATGCCGATCGGCTCATCCTTCGCAATCTGAGCATGACAATACCTGCGGGCAAGAAGGTTGCCATCGTCGGACCCAGTGGCTGTGGGAAATCGACCATTCTTCGACTTCTGTTCCGGTTCTACGATGCAGACTCTGGTCAGATCCTGGTCGACGGACAGAATATCAAAGATGTGAGCCTTGACAGCTTGCGGCGGAGTATCGGTGTTGTCCCCCAAGATACACCACTGTTCAACAACACAATCGAACACAACATCCGGTATGGAAACGTCGAAGCATCCTTGGACGAAGTCAAGAGTGCCGCGAAGCGAGCTCACATTTTCGATCTCATTGAGCGGCTGCCAGCTGGATGGAATACTATGGTTGGCGAACGGGGCATGATGATTTCCGGTGGTGAAAAGCAGCGGCTTGCTGTTGCGCGACTGATTCTGAAAGATCCTCCCCTCCTGTTCTTCGACGAAGCGACGTCGGCGCTGGATACTTATACCGAGCAGACGCTCTTGCAGAACATCAATAGTATCCTGAAGGAGAAGGGACGGACCAGCGTCTTTGTCGCACATCGGCTTCGCACCATTTTTGATTGCGATATCATCTTCGTCCTGAACGAAGGAAAAGTCGTTGAACAAGGCACCCACGCCGAGCTTTTGGCGCGTGAAGGCCTTTACGCTGACCTCTGGGCAGCTCAGGAAGTGTCAATTGGACAAGACATGACGCTTGAACGATCCCTGGAAGAAAAGCGACAGAGCGAAGAAAAGGAGACCCAATCTTGATTTCAACAAGCCTTTGATCTTGCTCACCTTGAAGCTATCGAGTTGAAAAGGGGATGCGTCTCTCGGTCCCTCCACCAGGCCAGACGTGGGGCCTAGACGTGTTTTCTTTGGAAATTTACGCGTTGGTGAGCAAAAAAAAAGACTTTGTGTTCTCGCATGGTTAGGGCGTGCTAGGCAAGGATGCAACGCCTTTTGGAAGGAGAGAAATCGTGGTTAACCTTGCTTCGAGAACACTAGGCGAGATGGTGATGATCTCAAGACAAAGGTGGAGGAACTATCGAGACTATCGAGAAAGGCGCCCATTTCGTCAAAGGCTCACCATCAGCCAGGTTGCCAGGGGAGCGAGATGATGGACAGCACTGGGCAGAGACAAGGACAGGGGTTCAACGAATTTCATTTTCGCACGTGGCGTCCAGACTGTGGCATTAGGTCCACTTCTTGAGAACGGCCACCACTGCATGGAGTCTAGCGAGAAGCCCCCCCGAGTGCCGATCTCTCGATGGTGTTGGATGTCTCTCTTGGATAAGACAGCCATGGACAGGCCAACACGGGCGTGGGAAGCTCGTGGGGGAAATAACGAGTACAGAGCGCAGTTATACAGGTAGATTGGACTCCCATCTCAGGATAGACAAGCAGGACTCTCGCATCTCGTTTCAAATACTTCAGATACATGTTCTACCAGTAGTAGGTGATCCTTGCTGTACCACATGGGCGTCGTTTGGGCTAGACCTCGTGGGATGCAACCGCTCCTCGTATATGTAGTATTACTTGCTTCTTTGTAAGGAGTACGAGGTATTCCAGAGGTACTGGTACCTACCAAAAAATCACCCGCATCGACGCTAGGCACCGTGGTACCTAACGATGGCATCTCTAGTCGGGCTCGCTAAGGGTCATTAGCCCGTTAAAGTGGCACCGGTGCCACCATCGAGAGCAGGTCCAACGGGGCCAAGCAGTCCTAACGTTTAACTAAAAGCCACTGAGCTTGGAAGTCTCGCAGCCCGAGAAATTGCACTTGCCACGATGCCACACTGCCCAACTCCCTTTTGATCCCATTACCCACTTCCAAGTCAATTTGCGGCGAGACTTTGAGAGTGTCACTAGGTACTGTAGGGTACAGGTACTTGTCCTCGTAGAATACTGGGGGGGGGCCTCCATGCTTGATAACTTGGGTCAATCGCTTGTTGGCAGACACAGTTCATCCCACAGACCTCGACCTGAGCTACTGGTACATTCCGACCTCAACACCTCCCTCCCTAGACGCATTTTTTGATTTTTGCTTCTTTTTCTTGTCTGCCCAATACTCGCAAACGCATTCGCTCGTTCGTGCGAACCCTCGAATAACCTTTGATCCTACTGCATGCTTGCAACACTCCGCTCGTTTCAGAAATCCCAAGAGCTTGCATTAGGGCCCCTGTCAACCCACAAGAAACTCTGAACTTCCCGGGGAAACATCTGGCGCATCACGATTTCCCATCCCGCTCGCCTACTGCCTACTACTTCTAATACTTCGACCTTCTTTTTGGTGCGCTGCACTTCGCCTGAGAAAATCGAGTCCGAAAAGCCCGAAGGAAAACTGCTCATTCGACCCAAAGGTCAGCCATTCGTTTTTTTGGCAGCGCACGGCTGTTCACAAGACACCATCCGACCGCCGGGGCCCGCTGTTCGCCATCATTTGCTCCTCACAGAAACCCTTTCCCTCAACCCCCCCCCCCCCCCCGGAACCGAACTATCCGAACCAAAGAGAAAAAAGGGCGTGGGATATCAAGGCGCGAGCTTCCGAGCGAGCAAGGAACTCCTCCTTTATCGTCATATCAAACGGCAAACCGTGTGCGAGAATTTTGACCTCTGAAGAACCAGGCCACTCCAAAAGCCTGGAAGAGGAGGCAACGTCTATCCAAAGGACCAGGCCCGCCACCGTAGATCAGCTTACACGAAGGCTCGACACTGCTATTTAAAAACACCATCCTACCTGCGAAAGGGACTCGCATCACTCTCTCAGAAGTTTAGAAAGGCTGTTCAAACACAAAATGGGTCTCTTCGACAAACTCCAAGCAAGTAAGGGTGCCCCATCCTCTCTTGACACCACTTCTCCAACCACTCCCCCAATGCATCCTTCTTGGGGAATATGCCCAACTGACCTCGTAACAGAACTGGAGCTCTACCGCCTCGAGCAGAAATACGCGCGTCGCAAGAACCGGACGACATTCACGACGGGCGCGGTATACCAGGACGGCGAATACTTTTACACGGGCGCCGCCGACTCGCGAAGTCCAACCATGTCGACCAACTCGACCGGCAATTCCAACAACACCTCTACAAGTAACAAGAGGAGGACGGTGCTGTGGGTGCCACCCGAGCAACGGAGATGAATGAACAAGACAGTGATGACGGGCTGGTCAGCCGTTTTTCTGGTGGCCTGCCTATGCCGGACCTTTTTGAGGGAGTTTGCTTTCGTGTGAATATTCTCTTATTGTCTTTGGTTTTTATTTTAAAGCATAGCACCGGCGTTCTTTTGTGTCTGGTGAGGCCTTTTTTTTTCCTGAGTTTTGCGCTTCTCTTTTGTCTTTCAATGGAAGTATGTGATTTCGGAACGTCGACATTTTGGATGAGCGAGCAAGCAGGGTTACGAATGCGACCAAGTGGGGGAGAGTAAGAACGAGTGAGTGATTTGGTGGAAGAGGCTCGAGGCTCGATTGAGGCTTGAGGCTTTGAAGAGTCGGATTTCAGATTTGCGATTGAGAACCGTGCGAGATGTGGTTGTTTGTCGTTCTGTTAGGAGTGTTGGTTGATCGGCCAAAGCTTTGGCGGTGGTCTTTCACGCAAGGCAGTCAGTAGCGGTGTATGATAGCATAGCACAGCTGATGCGCACTCACTTGTACTACGACATAGAGATTAGAAAGGGGAGAATCATTCGAAAGAAGATACACTACCTACCTACATACAATAGGTTCATGCCTGTCCGCGGTACCTACCGAGCTACTTAGTATCTACCGGGTACATACTTTGGAATTCCATTTAATCCACACGTTCCACAGCAGTGCGGCACCCCGGCTGATCTACATATTACTGCTGATCATGTCCTGATCTGACCTATGCATCATATGTACTTTACCTGCCTACGTACCTGCGGAGTACTTGGTACTTTTCCATGCCTTGAACGTGTCCTTGGTGTTTACTATGGAGTCAGAGGGAGTACATACATACATACATGCATACATACATACATACATGTGGGGACCAGGATGATCGCTTCGTCATCTCGTCGTCATCCCGTTCATGCATGCATGCATCCATATCCTCATTGATCCCTCCTCCGCCATTTCTGATGTGTCCGCCCTTCCGCCGTCACTTGGAAAGTTCCGTTCCGGGATAATAAAAGGCCACGAGGCCACGAGGAGGAGGCTCCCAAGGGTACAAAGGCTGATGATGATCACCACTCCCCACCCACCCGCTATTGCTTGCCCTCGAATTCAATCAAATATATGGATGTAGATGGACATTATGGTAAACGCCATCCGGCTGGCCTCACGTATACATTCCTTTTTCACCTGTCAAGTCAGAAGAGATCAGAAACGCGGGTTCGAGCCAACAATAACAATTTGCCCAGACAACAACAGGGTCATTTGGTTGGTACATGAATTCCTCCTATTATACGACCCCTACTGCCAATCCCATCTGTCCGTCCTGTGAGGTCCAAGTCTCCTCATCAGTCAGACTCGAGAGACTTCTCCTCACAGCTGTCCCTACTTCTTCTTCTCCCTGTCTTTACTCCCCCCAGCCCTGGCAATCCCGCTCGCAAATTTCCCAAAACCCCCTGCCAGACTATGACCTCGTTTATGCGGTCCAACTCGATCGTCTCCGGCGCCCACCGTCCTAGCACCAGGGCCCCCGACACCTGTTATTGCCAGCCCAGTTGCTGGCTTAACCAACCCTGATCCGGTGCCAGTTGCGCCGACACCACTCAAAGGTCGTCCACCGTGTAGTTTATGTCCGCTTCGAAATGCATCGCCGTCCGTTACTCCACCGATACCACCATCTCGTAAACTCGCACGACTTGAGCGGCCGGCATCATCAGCCGCACTCTGTATTGCAGAAATAGGCGTTTCTGCATCAAGTTCCCCCCTGAGAAGTCTCTCGTTTCGACGCCTCGCGCGTTCCTGGGTCTGTTTGAACTTGTCAAGCAGTTCGGGCCATTTAATCTCGTTCACACCGACAGCGGCTGTGGCATCACGCGTTCGTGAGAGACGAGAGCTGACAGTGCTATTTAGAGCGCTGCCGGTTGTAGCGGGTAAAGAAGTCGAAGAAATCCCCGAGACCACACTAAGGGGCCACACGATCATGTTAGATAAATGATCAACACAAAAAAGCGCTGGCTCGACAAGATTCAAAGGGAAAAGAAATAGACTCAACGTACGATGGTCTGGCTGAAGTAGGCATCGAGACCGGTGTATGTAACAGCCCTATGGCAGAGACACTGTTGAGGCGGTTTTTCAAGGCACCAAAGGCAGAGGATTGGGGGAGCAGCATGAGAAGACCGTAGAGACATTTATAAAGGTAGGGATAGCGATCGGGTTCGAGGAGTTGGAGTCGTAGATCTGTGAACTTTCAGCATTCGCAACCAAAGCAGAAGGAAAAAAGGCCTCAGAACTTACACGTAAAGACAGGACTTTCTAGTAACTGCACCAGCTTATCGATCTGGATGAGCATGTTGACCGTCATTTCCAAGTCAGCAAATATCTGGAGTAGATTGTAGGCTTGCTCATATGCTTGGGCCAGGAGGCACAGCGAGAACGTAGCCACAGCATTGTGACACCAAGCGCGAAACAGAGCCACAAAGAACATCTGCCCCTCCTTGCTGTCCGGGTTTCGAAGCCTTTTCCTCAGCTCGGCCAGTTCAGGCGCCGTAATGAGGTTGTTGTTGAGATTCTGAATCATGATACTCGCAAACTCGATATCTTCGTCCTTTTCGATGCAGTCGGCCAATGTCCTATAGATGCGCTCAGGTTGGAGGTTGATACACAATTGACGAATAATCAAGTTGCCCCGGATCTCCAGCAGCTTACGGTCGGTGGAGAAGAGCTGAAGCAACGCCACCATGAAGGATGTGAAGTATCCGTCTTCGCTGTTCTTGGAGATCTGTGAAAGAAGCTGCAAATCGCGTGTCACAACCGCTTCTGCCGGATCAGAAAGCGTCTTGAGCAGGGCAGGAAACGTCCCGTCATTGAAGGCAAGAACTTTCTTTGGCGCTTTTCTGTGAAGCATAATCAACCAGCTCAATGCTGCCACACGCGTCTCTTCGTGTTCGTTGAGGAACTGCAGCGTCAACGCGTTCACTGCTGCCGCGTAGTCGAGGTCAGCCATGGGTTGCGGTGACGGCGCTGCGGTGGACCGGGGAGTGACCTCCGGAGGCGACTGCTCTATCTCAGAAGACGCTTCAGGAGGAGTCTCGTTTTTACTGTCCGCTTGCGAAGGCACGCTCTTGGTTGTCCCCCCTGATTGTCTTTTTTCGGAACTTTCTCCGTCTCGCGTCGTCACACTCACCAGGGTGCCGGATATGAGCGCACCCTGGTCATCGTTTGACACCTCATCTTGGAAGGTGACAATGTAATCCATCAAGGACCTGTTGACCTTGCTGGCGGTCGTTCTGACTTGCTCCGACTGCGCCGATAGTGCTGGCAGAACGCGCGACAGCAGGCGAGGCACGAACTGCAGAATTTCTTCCGGACTGATCTCGAAGAAGCTGTCAATCCATCGTAGGGCGACGATGCCGATCTCTTCTTCCTTTTGTTTGGACAACCCTTCAAGTCGTAGTTGTGGCGCCGTCTCTTTACTGGACGAGACATCGACAAACTTTAGCAAGATATCGAGGATCTGTGCGTAATCCACCTGTACATCTTGTCCAGGTATCCAATCACCGTCGTGCTCCCCAAGTTCGTTCAGTTCGTCTTGAGCGGTCCCAGACTCGGAATCTTCGATAGCATTTTCATTCGACTGACTACCGCGAGCCGTAGTGCTGCCCGCATCAGACCCAGGTCTACGATTGCCAGCTCGAGTGCGGCGACTTTCGGCAATCCCGCGCTTGATCTTTGCGATTTTCTTGATCTCGCTAAGGAAGCGCTCAAGCAACCCTTGCGTCGCCACATACACGTCCCGATTCGGATCTCCGAGGAATTTGAAGAGGCCTCCAAGAAAAGCTGGTAAGTAGTGTACAAGTTCCAAATCGGGAATGGTGTCGAGAAGGGTCAGCCATGAAACCAGAAAGGTGCGCGTAAATGGGTTGATGACGTGAATGCGCTCTTCGAGAAGGGGAATGAACTTTGCAAGGGAGAAGGTTGTGGGGAGGTCGGCGCTTTCCTTGTCTGGATCGAGTTGTTCGCCATCCTCATTGAAATTGAGGACTGAAACGTACGACGCCGCGGACTCGGAAACAATATCCTTGATTAGACGGTCGAGGAGCTCCGCGCCGTTCTTCACTGAGAGCTCTGAGTCGGCAGCAAGCTATATGTACCAACGTTAGCAGCAACGACAGCCGAGGGAGGTCCAGTCATGCCTTGCATAATGCATCAAATATGTCGTTGAAGAAGACCAGTATCTCTCCCTTGGCCACTTTGGCAATGTTGTACATGGCCTCGCAGGCATAATAGCGTACACGGGCGTCTTGATCGGTAAAGCATGCTAGAACAGGTGGAACAATGTCAGACAAATAACGGGCGACCTCATCCTAGAGAGAGGGTTATCAGTATAGGGGCGCCACACATAATGACGGGACAGGCATACAGAGCCCAAGGCGATCGAAGCAGCCGCTAGACCAATGAGTCCTCCATTACGGGCATGTGGAAGGTGCACAGCATAGGCATAGTCGTGACACAACTGATCAATCGTCTTCCGGATCTTGTCATATTCTTTGGCGGCACTAGCCTCTCGGATGAAACGCTCGAGCCTTGTGGGAATCAGCAACAGTCACGAATATCTCGAATTTGTGGTGGAGTCATACTCGAGGGCGCCCTGCTTCCTTTTATCGTAGAGCTTGTCAGTAAGCAGCCGTTGAACTGCGGGATCCATGGCGTTCTGTGGATTGAGTGACGCGGGTCTTCAAAACCATCATCGGATGTGCGTTATACGCCCAAAGTGGCAACAAGGTTTGTGGAGGTGGAAAGGCCAATTTCCGGTGCAACGGCGACAGACTCTGGTCTCAAGAGGGTGTCAGACAGTCTGCTCAGACATTAATAGTGTAGAGATGGTTAGATGGGCATTGTGAGAACCGGAGTGAGGACTTGGGAAATAGGGTGGTTGATGGGAAGAGACGCGTCGTTTGGTGCAGGTCCAGATGCAGGTCGAGTTGATGGGGTCCAAACGAAAGTTTTTGGCGTCGCTGTCACCGTCACCGTCACTCACTTGCTTTCCCTTTTTTCCCGCTGCAGCCACCACAGCCTCTCAATTGGGTCATTGGCTGAAACGGTCATTTCAGGGATTCGTACTTGCTTTCATTCGCCAGGGTTGCCCTCCAGTCTATTCACCTGCGTGCCATCCTTCATCCTTGCTCACGCGAGCTGCATCCGCTATTTGTGACCTACTGCCGTCTCTCCTTACAAATGGTTACCAGGCACGCAAGGGAATAATGCCACCTACACTAAATACCAAGTACAATCACCCAATATTCGACCAATCCCACTCAACCCTCTCAATGCTACCTGTAGCAACTTCGCAGTCCATGCTTAGTGGCTGATATACTGGAACACCGCACTCACTGCCTCTTCCGACGCCTCTTGTCGGAGCAAGAGGTCTTGAATCTTGCCGAGAGGGCCCTTCTCTCCAGAGTTGACGAAATGATTCCAAGAGCTTGTGTCACCGTAAAGCATGGCTGGCGCCTTGATTTGTTGTGTGCCGTCTGGGTTGCACCGTTTACATTTGAATGTGTCATGGGTGTCACTGGTGGTATCCGGTTTGAACTGGAACAGCTCTCGCAAGGAATCGAGAGTAAAATGCCGCTCGACATCTTCCGCCGAATCCACCACTGTCGACGAAAGGGCCTGCTTATGTGATTGGCGCTGGAAAATCTTCTCTTCGATGGTACCTGTCCCCATGAACCTGTACACGAAGCAGTCCTTTTTCTGGCCATCGCGCCACACACGAGCAAGAGCCTGCTGGTCAGCTGCCGGATTCCAATCCGGGTCAAACAGAACAAGACGATTGGCACCGATCAAGTTGATACCACAGCCACCGGCCTTGCTGCTCAATAAGAAGACGAATTCTTCCCCGTTTGGATCGTTGAACTTGTCCACGAGCTTCTGTCGTTTATTGACATTCATGGTGCCGTCGAGTCGAAGACATCCGTAATTGCGTGCACGGCATAGCTTCTCAAAGACATCCAAAGTCTGAGTGTAGTTGCTAATGAGCACAATCTTGTCGTTTGTGTCTTGACGGATCCGAGCAAGCATACGCTCTAGGACCGAAAATTTGCCAGAGTGCCATGATTTGACATCACGGTCGCGACCACGAGCCTCTTTGGGAACATAGTCATCAGGCCAATACTTCTCGCTCCCTGGAAGGTCCTTCTCCAGGTCCAAAAGATCGGGATGATTGCACAGCTTCTTGAGAATCCCGATTGCCTTCAACGGCTGGCTGCCTTTGCCTCTTAATAGACTCTTGATGTCAGGGCTTTGAATGAAGTGGTTATAAAGATCTTTCTGGAATGGGGCAAGGTTGCAGAACACCACATGTTCATACTTGACAGGCAAGTATTTGGATAGGATGTCGTTCGTCCTTCGGATGATGAATTTCTTGACCAGCAACCCCAGTTCGGCATTGGCTTCTTCACCCTTTTTCTTGTCCGCGTCTGATCCGGCAGCATCGCGACCGCGGAGAATAGGCAGTTCGAATTTCTTCCGGAAGTCGGCCTTGGTCCCCAGGTAACCCGGATTTGCGAAATCCAGCAAGGCATAATACTCAGTGAGATCGTTCTGGATAGGTGTCCCTGACAGAATGACCCGTCGGTCAACATTCAAACCGGTCAATGCCATATATGTCTCGCTTTCGGAGTTCTTCAAGCGGTGTCCTTCATCACATAGCATCAACCCGATCTTAACGTCTTTGAGCTCCTCGATATTCAACCTGAGGGATTCATAGGACACGATCAGGACGGGTCTCGCAATGCCTCGGCCGGTAGCCATTGCCCATTGTTTCAATTGCATCGTGAGCTCTTCCTTCGTCGCCTTTCCGTCAATGGCAAAGGGGTTGATAGCGCCCTCGCCGAGCCATTTAACAAGTTCATTTGCCCAGTTTTTGACCAGACTGGCAGGGCATGCAATAACACATTTCTGAATTGTGGATTTGCCGGCCTCCGGAGATTGCTTGAGTAATGTCCACATGAGGGTGATGCATTGAAGAGTCTTTCCCAAGCCCATTTCATCCGCCATAATGCAACCCTTGGCCTTCTCATCCACAAGACCTGTGGTACATCTGTACAGAAATTTGACTCCTTCCACCTGATGGGGCCGCAGTACTTTGGCCAGCCTTGGATCAATGACCACCGGTACTTTGGGTCTCTCCCCTTCTACTTGTTTCTTAATACCAAGTATTTCGGCCAGGCTTTTGTGCATGAGAGGTGTGTCAAGCTTCGGCTTTTCCTCCTCTTGTTTGTCCGTAGCATTCTCCTCAGGCTTCTCGTCTATAGTTGGGTCATATAGGACGATTGCGAATTCTCCACTGGGATCATGTAAAGGCTTATTGACGAAACCATGACCTAGGCGCATTCCCAGACTAGGCGCTGGTCGTGACGGATCAAAGGCATTCTTGTTGATTAAAGGGATAGAGAATCGAGCTCGAAACGTCGTTTCTTTATCCTTGACCTTGAAGATTGGAAACCGGTCTTTGAGAGTCACAGAATCTTCATCGAGCGTAAAACCACCACTTGTATCTTCAGCTCCGCCGTCCACTTCAGCATAATTGACCTTTCTTCTCTTTCTGGCAGGCTCGCCTTTGGACTTGCGGGAATTGGCTGAGCCGGGACATTTGAAAGGCTTTATGAGACGGTCGATGGCCGCAGGCGAATTGACACTGAGTCTGCCAGCTTTTGCTGGGTGTATGTTTTCCTTGTCATGCTCGAGCGAGATGAATTTGGTGCGTATCCTGCGGTAAGGTTAGAACATGTATGTTACAGAATCTCACGCACTTACATGTTTCAGATGACAGATCGCCGCAGAGCAACATACACCGTGACTACCCTGAGTTGGGCCTGGCAGACACTCTTGATATCTAGGTGAATAACAATAGTGGCAGTGGTAGAAATCCAGTCACGTTGCACGCGTCGTGAACATGACGCGCGCTCACGTGCAACTTAACTTCTCGGCCATTAGGACTTGCCTTGGGAGGACCCCACGAACCACCACCGCGGCCAACGAAATACCTCGGAGAGGCCACCAAGAGCACCTCGTCGACGCAAACAATTTTCAAGATAAAGACAGCTGGGCAACGCTCTGGTACGTTTTTTCATACCAAATAATGCGAGGCCATCACATCAATCTGGAGGAGTGTCGTTTATCTACAGGTCATCGTCTGCAAACCATGATATAAATCCAAAGAATCACAACCGTCCTCGATTGAAGGAGCTCACCCATCTTCTCACTGCGGGCTCAAGATGTCGGCAGACTTCTGGGCTAGCTATATCTCTGGGGCATTGGGGATATTGGTGGGTAATCGCCTCGATGTCCTAAAGGTCGCCGCTCAAGCAGGCACTAGTGGTGTCGTTGCAGAACCGACACTGCAGCATGACTCGAATCAACGTCTTCAGAGAGTCACAGCATTGTTCAGAGGAGCTGCCGCGCCCATTCTAGGCTATGGCGCATTGAACTCTATACTCTTCATGACATACAACCGGTCCCTGAAGTTGATGGATCCAAGCATATTTGACTACACAAAGCTGGCTGGCGTTGATTTGAGCAAGATTTGGGCGGCGGGCGCGATTGGAGGACTCGCTACATTTGTCGTCTCCGCACCGTCAGAGCTCATAAAATGCAGGGCCCAGCTTATCGTGGATGGACAAGGTTCTTCATATGGAGTATTTAAAGAAATATGGAAATATGGTGGGCTTCGAGGGCTCTACTACGGAGGCACAATCACTGCTGTTCGAGATGCCGTGGGATATGGCTGGTATTTTTGGTCGTACGAGCTAACTAAGCGGTTACTTCTTTCTCGACAAGCCGATCCATTCGCTTCTCCTACTGCTGCAGAAGTTCTAATCAGTGGCGGTATTGCCGGAGTCGTCACCTGGGTATCCATCTATCCTCTGGATATCATCAAAACCCGTCTCCAGACGCAGGCTTCCCCAGCCACAGAGTGCCAAAGGCTTCTTCCGGGAGCCAACACGGCGGGCGCCCAAGCGAAGACAAGTTTGACCATCGCTCGGGACATTTGGCAAATCTCCGGAATGGGCGGCTTCTATCGCGGAATTAGCATCTGTAGTTTGAGAGCGTTCATCGTAAATGCAGTCCAGGTAGGCCGCTCTCTGGTCCCATCATCATCCCCTACTAACCTTCGATAGTGGTATGCATACGAAAGGATCATGATCTTTCTGGGGAACCATCAATGATTAGACCGAGATGTAAACAGTTGAAACCAAATGGTGTCAGTTCAGTTGGCTCGACATGCTCATTCAGATGGATTACTTCTGACAAGAGTCGTGTCTTCGGCGGTTTTGAATGCGCATAGTTTCGTCATAAGGTCGTTCACATGAGGACATCAAGAATTCTAGTGCATCTGGATCAATACAGCTCAGATCTCAATGTTCCACGTCTTTCATAGTCTCGTTGTCTGGAACGTTTTCCGAGGAATGAGGGTGACGTTTGTCTGTGCCCAAGCCTACGGCTGCATCTGCAAGTCTTTGGGTGTGTACCTCCTCCTTGAGCATTCGGACACTATTCCACAGTCAGGTCGCTTCATGGCGTCAAAGGATGGCATGTACCGTCTCTTGTGATTCTTCCCTCTCCTATGCTCGTTCAGATTGTGGCTGTCTGAGAAATATTTGGCGCATTCGACACAATAGAAGGCGCCCAGTCCGGGCAGGTCCTCGGAGGCTTTAAGGCCCTTGTGTAAAGCGAGATGCCGGGGTGATTTGAGGTCGGCTTTGACTAGATCAAGGTCGCTATAATACAAAGGTTAGAGGATAACTATTTCAAGGGCATTTGTACGGACCGGGTGCGACGTTTGGTCTTGGTGCGTTTGATGCTACCCATGATATTTCCCGAAGATCAATCCGCAAGGCTTTCGGCATGAGTTTTCCGCTGGCGAGAAATACTAAACCATGTACATGCGAGGCTGTTTTTGGGGCGCACAGGCGGAATGGCAATGTTTGTGGGCCGACAATTCTTTTGGAAGGGGCCACAGCAACTTCTGCGGCAAAGGCTTGCCTGGCTTGCCCAACACAGTGGGTGCCAAGCCTCCGCCAACAAAAGCGCGAGATGCCGACTGGGTCAAGGTAGCGGCATCTGCCGGGGCTCTTCTCGGACTGGCTCATCCAACCAATCATTTGGCCCCTAAATCTGGGACAATGCATTGGACCTCATGTTGTCTTCTCTGGGCTCGCCTCACCAGCTTGGAAAACATGACATACCCTGCTCTTCCGATTACGCCAGATTGAGCGCTGCGAGATCTGATTAAGGCGGTCAAAGACGCTGGGAAACATCATCGAGAGCCCTTCCGTATATGGAACTCTTCAAGGGTGCTTGAAAAAGAAAGAGCGGTAACGAGGGGGCTTTCCCGCGCATCTGGTTCGACGAGGTAATTACATCATTCATGATTGGCTAGACGAAAGGTCTGCAGGCCAGAAGAAAAATTGCAGGCTTGAGGCATTTGCTCGGAGCATGGGGTAGCGGTGGAGCACATTGCCTAGGTAGGAGCTTCGGAATGCTTTAGGCGCTGGTTTGTTGTGCGGCAAGATCGGTCTGGTGGAAGCATGGTATATATCTAGGGCTAAGGGTATTTTGTTGGAATTTCTGGAACTCTCTTCGAGTGAAAAAAAATATTCTGCAGCCCATCGATCGTTGCGTAGATGAGGAGGAGAAGTGGTTGCTGCAGCCATTGATCATTGCCGCAGTTGACGTCGTCCCAGGCTTATCGTGCCTTTTGCCCTCTTTGCCCGAGGCTGATTGGCGCTGCACCTTTGCACCCTGGGAGCTTGCAACAACTCCTCCCACCCATCCACATCTCCGTCCACAGCTTCTTTTATTTCTTTTCACCTCTCCACTCTCTCTTGATCCTGTTGCCAGCTCTACACCGAGCTTGGGATTTCTGTACCTGTTACTAGAGATCAAGTATTGTCGCCAACATGATGTCCACGAGGCCTCTGGGCCGCCTGGCCTCCCGCATGGTAAGTGCTCTGCTTGCATCATAGCACTGTTCGCAACCTTTTCAGTTGCTGCAACGACACAATTATTGCTATGCTTCTTGCTACTGCCCACAAGCGTTTGCTGACATGTATCTCGAAACTAGGGTGCCAAAGTTGGTTCTGTTAGTACTCTTCCCATCTCGATCCGGGAGCAAAAACAGCTCACTAACAGTCCAAAACAGCCCTTGCGAGTATCCAGGATGGGTTATGCTACCGTCTCAGACGATCCGCTCAGCAAAAATAAGTTATACCTTGCACAAGTGGTTTATTCGAGGATCCTAACAGCCCGATACAGGTTGAGATGACCAACTGGGAGAAAGGTCACTACATCAACTACAAGTGAGTTCCCGGCGCTACTGGAAGTGGTTGCTTTCAGATTCAGTACCCAAAAACACATCAGCGGCGCTGACAGCTACTATAGAAAGATGTCGGAGAACCTAGCAATCGTCCGCAGCAGACTTAACCGACCTCTCACATATGCTGAGAAAGTCCTGTATTCACATTTGGACGACCCGCACGGACAAGACCTCGAACGAGGAGTTTCCTACCTCAAACTCAGACCTGATCGAGTAGCATGTCAAGATGCTACCGCCCAGATGGCTATTATGCAGTTCATGTCCGCTGGCATGCCCTCAGTCGCTACGCCGACCACCGTTCACTGCGATCATTTGATTGAAGCCCAGGTTGGCGGAGACAAGGATCTGGAAAGAGCCAAGGATATCAATAAGGAGGTCTACGATTTCCTGTCGACTGCCTGTGCCAAATACAACATCGGCTTCTGGCGTCCTGGCTCGGGTATTATCCATCAGATAATCCTCGAAAATTATGCTTTCCCTGGTGGTTTGATGATCGGAACTGACTCCCATACTCCTAACGGTGGTGGTCTTGGTATGGCAGCAATTGGTGTCGGCGGTGCCGACGCGGTTGATGTCATGGCAAATCTGCCATGGGAACTGAAGGCCCCCAAGGTCATTGGTGTCAAGCTGACCGGTGAAATGTCTGGATGGACTTCTCCCAAAGGTGAGAAAGCCGCGCCTCCTCATTGATGTTGTGCTGATCTTGGATTTCAGATATCATCCTCAAGGTGGCCGGTATCTTGACGGTAAAGGGCGGCACTGGGTAAGTCATTATTGCCTCTGATATTCTGGCTGTACCGTTGTATTCTGACCTATCTACAGAGCGATTGTCGAATATCACGGTACGTGTACTCTTTCTACATTACCCCGTTAAAATCCCGGCGAGGATGTGAATCCCCTTTCTGGTTGCCACTACTTTAATACCACCTGGACGAACCGAACCGATGGAATACAAGTGACGAGCCTGGCACGGCGTACACCCAATGCCCAACTGGGTCGCGCAATTTTCAACCTGCCCAAGTAACGAGTCTGGCACGGCGTTCACCTAATGCCCAACTGGGTCGCAGGTTTCAAACGAAAACAAACGAGACAATTCTCCCAGATGGATACCACCCCTCAAATGCCGGGATCAGTCATGATGTTTTGAATCCTGCGTTCTTCCAGTATACTTTGTGGTATCATGCTAATACTTTTTCAAGGTCCTGGCACTAATAACCTCTCCTGCACCGGCATGGGCACCATCGTAAGCACCACATAACATCGACCGCTCGGCGTTCTGCAATGCTGACTATATACAGTGCAACATGGGTGCCGAGATCGGTGCAACGACTTCTCTCTTCCCCTTCAACGACCGCATGTACGATTACTTGGCTGCAACCAAACGCAGGCATATTGGTGACTTCGCTCGGGCATACTCTGCTGAGCTTCGCGAGGATGAGGGCGCCGAATACGACCAATTCATCGAACTCAACCTCTCTGAACTCGAGCCTCATATCAACGGTCCATTTACGCCAGATTTGGCCACTCCCATCTCCAAGTTCTCCCAGGCAGTCAAGGATAACAAGTGGCCCGAGGAGTTGAAGGTTGGACTGATCGGTTCTTGCACAAACTCTTCATATGGTGAGTCTTTGAAAAATTGTCCACTACTGGAGTGGTCATAGATCTCTCGACAGCGACACAAGCTGACTAATGGTCGCAGAGGATATGAGCCGAGCAGCATCAATCGCTCAGGATGCTATGGATCATGGCATCAAGGCGAAGGCTTTGGTATGTATTTCCCACCAGCAGTCATGAGCCTCACCCTGTGACTATGACACTGTCCGCTAACGATTTGCAGTTCACTGTCACACCAGGTTCCGAGCAAATTCGCGCAACAATCGAGCGAGACGGTCAGCTCAAGACTCTTGAGGACTTTGGCGGCGTCATCCTCGCAAATGCCTGCGGCCCCTGCATTGGTCAATGGGACCGAAGGGATGTCAAGAAGGGCGAGCCTAACTCGATTATCTCCTCCTACAACCGAAACTTCACCGGCCGCAATGATGCCAACCCTGCCACTCACTCGTTCGTCACGTCTCCAGATATGGTTGTAGCGATGACCATCGCAGGAAACCTCAACTTCAACCCTTTGACCGACACACTGAAGGACAAGGATGGAAAGGAGTTCAAGCTCAAGCCACCCAGTGGTGAAGGTCTACCCCGAAACGGATACGACCCGGGCCGTGACACATATCAAGCCCCTCCAGAGGAGCGTAGCCAGGTGGAAGTGAAAGTTTCTCCAACATCCGACCGTCTGCAAATCTTGCAACCTTTCGAGCCATGGAACGGCAAAGATTTCCTCGACCTTCCCATCCTGATCAAGACCAAGGGCAAGACCACCACTGACCACATCTCGATGGCTGGTCCTTGGTTGAAGTACCGTGGTCACCTCGACAACATTTCCAACAACATGCTGATTGGTGCCATCAACGCTGCCAACGGTGAAGCTAACAAGGTCAAGAACTTCAAGACTGGCGAATGGGATGCCGTCCCTGCCACTGCTCGCTGGTATAAGAAGGAAAAGATCCCGTGGGTTGTCATTGGAGACTGGAACTACGGTGAGGGTTCTTCTCGAGAGCATGCTGCTCTTGAACCCAGACATCTTGGTGGTATTGCCATCATCACCCGAAGCTTCGCCCGTATTCACGAGACCAACTTGAAGAAGCAAGGCATGCTACCCTTGACCTTTGCCAACCCCGAGGACTACGACAAGATCAACCCTGACGACAAGGTTGACTTGTTGATCACCGACCTGGCACCCGGCAAGCCCGTGACGATGAGAGTCCACCCCAAGGATGGCAAAGCATGGGATTGCGAATTGCAACACACATTCAACGAAGGCCAGATTGAATGGTTCAAGAACGGCAGTGCCCTGAACACTATGGCCAAGAAGCACGGTTCCCGCTAAATGCCGAATAAAATCTAAGACAATGAAATTCGTCGGGGATGAAGACGGAACTATTGTACAGAATGCCAGTTGAATGCGGACACAACCGGCACGAGGAACGGGGTCGGTCCAAGAAGCCCCTCGAAAAATCGAGATGGAAGACTGAAAGTCGTGGGATCGAGGTCGGAAGGAAATCAATCGTGTATTGGGGGGTTGGAATGTTGGCTGAATGGCAGCATGATATTATGTACTTTTCGTAGCGGAAATACCAATGCACACCAGTTTTCAAAGGTCACACATATGTATGCGTCTAAACGTGCTCTGTAGCAAGTCACCCAGTCACCCAGTCATCCCGTGCCCTGACGAGGCTGTGTAGCAGCATTTGATGTCATGATGACTGACAAAAAGGCGCCTTGTGAACCTCGGCATGTGGAGAAACAACCGATTAACAATTGCTCGACGGTGATTGCGATATGCGCTGTATCTTCTGTCACTGGTTACATATATTAAGACGAATCCCTACTCTCGGTGTTCAGGCTACCTTCCCAAAAGCTCTCTAGTTCACGACCT